GTTGCATGAGAATGGCATTATCGGTCAGCGGCAGGTTTCGAGCGTCAACTTAGCGTAACAGGGCGGACGCAACGACCGTGACTCGTGGCGCGAGGACGGTACTCGAGGCGAGTCCGTCTTTCTTGCCCGACGTGCGCTAGGCGGCAAAAAGTGTGCGCCACAATTTAGATCGCCCTCGGGCCTCGGCCCTCGAAGAGGTGCTGACCTTGGGAAAGCGAAAAAGCGTGCCACCGGTACCGGGTCCGGCTGATTCACATGCACGACTGACGGCGCTCGTTCCGGTCCCATTATCGTTATTAATAGTAAGCACGTCATACGTGAGTCACGCCACGCCGTCCACGGTCGCAGGTAATACTGTTACTGTATGGACACAGTTCGGACGGCGGACCGGGGGACGCGTCCGCGGTGCCGTTTGTGACCTTGAAAATCGAAAAACGAGTGGCGGACAAATTTCGGCAATTAAAATCCGCGTCGCCGCAAAATCCTTCTTTTACAGCTATTTCGCCACCATCACGGTGTCACTTTCCGTACACTGCCGCGCAAATGAGGCGCACAATGACGACGAATCGTCGACACTTGATCGACGTCGAAACAAGTATTTCTTTATTTGAAACGCGCCGAATTAATCGCCATTTATTTGTCTGTTTCGCCTTGTATAACGAACGATCGTGTGGCGTGGCGCCGCCATAAATCTCACAATATCCATCAGCGGCGAGCGGCAGTCGACCGCGTCAGCCGGTGGCGGCACATGCCGTTCGCCCCCTCCTCCCTCCCTCCCCTCCCCGTCGCCCCCTCCCTCTATCCACAGCGTTCTACAGGGCACTCTGATTGCACTCACTAACACCAGTCTCATCCGTACGTGAGGACCAGCTTGATAAACTTGAATGAACTTAGATATCACTTCGAAAATTGGTTTCAAACCTGTCTTCGTCAACACGTGTACATCCGGTTCGACCTTTATGGACATGATTTTAAAGCCTTATCTTACAACGGTTCAACTAAAAAAATACTGATCCTCCTCAAGGTACACAAGAAATACTGTTTGCCCTGAGGACGGCCAGTGTGTTGGCAGTAAGAACAAAACTTTTACATAAATTTGGTGCACTGCGTCTATAACCGTCGAGTCGGTAGTACGTACGTTGAACTTGGAGAAAAAAATAAACTTAGAATTAAACCTCATTGACAACCAATTGGCTAATTCCCGCGGACACTTCCTCTGGAAGACGCACCTTGAAAGCACTGCGGGTATTAAACTTATCCCAAAGTATTCGAAACTTTGCTCCGATGCTGGCCTTCCGTAAGCTGCAGTGACGGAAAGGCTTTGAAGCATCGTTTCTCCATGAAACTTATGCTGCGCACTAATCTCCGTAACGGTGCCATCGGCCAGGAATGTCTATGGAATTTATTTACTTCGAAAAAAAGTACACATTATCTGGAAACTTCATCTCGAAGACACTAAGTAAAAGCGCTCAGGGCATTCACAGAAAACTGACCGTCAAGAAGTAAAGGTTCTAACCGTTTGGATGTTGATCTGTGAGGCACTCCCGTGATTAGCGATATTTGAAGCAACCCCATTTCGTGGAATTCACCGAATAACGCTAGTCTTCGGTACGGTGCCATCAATCAGCAATCTAGTATTTGTTTATTTGGAAAGCAACGTGTGCACCGTGGAGACAGCGTAAGGTCTTCCGTTTGCAGTTGACAACGTTAGAAAAAGTGAAACATTCACGAAGCGGAATTTAACTGCAGTAAACACCTAAAAGTTTACAAGTACTCCCTAAATTCCCTGGAAACTTTATCTAGGAGACATCTTTCAGCAACAGTACAAAAGACACTTATGAGAACTGACTTAATCATAGAAAGAAAGAAGTCTGTAACCTTTGGGATGTTTGCTGCTAACGATCGAGCAACCCTATTTCACGGAATTGACCATGTGGCGCTAGTCTCCGCTACGGTGCTATCAGGCAGGAACGTCGTACTTTGTTATTTTGAAAGAAACGCATGTAGTTCGGTGGCAACTACAGGGTACAGTTTATCCGCTTTGCAGGTCGTACAAGGTTGCATTCATGCAAGGCTGGAAACTTTACAAAAAGTAAAAAACAATGATAAACTTGAACTTAAATAATAAACTTAAAAGTAAACCTAATTTAAAAGCCTTTCCTACATCCCGTGGAACCGTCATCTGGAAGGCACCTTTAGCAAAAAGCACTTAGGGTAATTATAAATACTGAATAAACTGAGTTAATGAAAAGTAAAAAAATCTGCTGATTGGAATAGCGGTCTTCCGAACAATTCAATGATGGCGCGACTTTTGGAAATGACTTTTCATGTAATTTATGGTGCGGTGCTAATCGCCGTTACAATGTAGTTAACCACTGGTGTCAGATTTATCTATCTTGAAAACAGTATATGCATCTTAATGGCTACTACTGCGTACTGCCTTCCCTTCCGTTATGCACTGGGATACAACCGAATCTACCGAAAAACGAGCGATCATGCTGTGACTCAATCCTACGTGATTTTCATAGTGAATCCAACGTTCAACCGAAGATACAATTTGAACAAAAGCATTAAAACAGATTCAGATATTCAACTGTATCTTGACCGACGGATTTGGCAAGTCAACAATTTAAGCAATTTCTTGCAGAATGAAGAGATGAGTTAGTTAGCTTATCTTTTTTTAGACAGAACCTAACCTCGAAATTTTGGGCACCATAAATGGTGGGTTTTCAATTGCAACTTTTCAATCTCGTTATCTTGTACGAAACTGTTCGTCCACGGGGTTGCAGAACGAAGTTTAATGTCGATTAAATTTTTGAAACTCGTCGTCGTGGAAAGTTAAATTTTTATTTCCCTTCAAGAAAATAATTACCGAAGAGATTCTGATATTCTGTCGTTCATTCTACCCTCGATGCGGACATGTCCGTAGCCGCCACTGAAGCGTGCTCATGCCGATGGTTGTGTGATATGTTTATTATGATCGATCGTAACATTTAACAGGCAGTAAATGATCGCTCGCTCACCAGAGACATGAGCCATAACATCGAATTACTTTGTGCGACGCGAAAATGTTTCGCTTACACAAATCAAAATCAATGCGAAGACATTAATTCGTGTTTGCGAGCGATTTTCATAATTTCATAAATGTGCAAAGCGCCATGGGGTCGCAGCGACCGGTAGGGGTCACAATCTCGAAGCCAATGATGCAGATAGGTGTTGCCCCCCTCCCTCTCCTGTCCCCTCTTCCCACACCTCCGTTCGCACTGCACGCGTCACTTGTCGCTCGGTGTTCGGTACTTATCCACCTGTCGGTGTAGCATTGTCTCAGTCTGTGAGGACGAACCGAGTACAGAGCAAGCATGGCTCGAAAGCAGGCCGACAGGTCAGTCGGGCGAGAGGTAGACGCAACGCAACGAGGATGGATCAAGGGTTGGGCTGACAGGAAGGCAGGCCGCGCGGCGATTTTAAGAAAATAGAAAAAATTCAATAAAGATAAATCAATCTCACTTGAATTTGATTACATTTGGGTGGCAGAGGCTGCGAAGATGCCTAATGTTCGTTTCCTCGACCTGGCGCAGCTTTTTCACCGCCACCAGCTCGCCATTGAAGTAGCCGCGGAACACGGCGCCCTGAGAACCGGCGCCCAACCACTGCAGCTCGGTGATGCCCTCGAATGGCACCTCCCAGCTGTCATTCAGCAGGTGGGCTGCGGCGCGGTCGGCGGCCGCTGCCGCCTTCAGTTTCTGCTGCACACGTATTTCCTGAGACAGCGAGTGCGTGGTCTTGCCCAGGATGTTCCACATCGGCTTCAGACAGCCGAGAAGGCCTTCCCAGAAGAAATCCACCCTCGACGCCGAGTCACATGCACTGGCTGCTGACGACGAGCCGCCGCAGCCGGTCTTCGAGAACGTCGTAGTCATATTAGAATTCTGACGGTACTTGTCGGTCATCCGGGGAGCGATCGGCGGCATTGTTATGGCGCCGTTAGCGGCAGCGGCAGCGGCACCGGCAGCGGCAGCGGCAGCGGCACCGGCAGCGGCAGATGTACAGGAAGACGTACCGGCAGCAGCCGAGGCAGCGAGGTTCGGTGTCTGCTGGTGTGAGGGCGGCAAAGGCCGCTGCAGCGCCACCCCTATGCCGGATCCGGTTCCAGCGGCAGTACTGACGGCGGTCATCGTCGTCGTCGACGAATAGTCGGGCAAAGACTGGGTGCGCAGGTGGCTCAGGTTCGACCAGTCCAATGCCGTCGCGGCGTCGTCATCGTCCTCGAGCGGCCGACAGTTCAGACTACGCACCCGGCGACGCTGGCGGCGACTCGGTCGACGGTGCACCTCCTCTTCGTCGTTCTCGTGGCTGTCGTCGTCGTCATTGTTCACTCGTCCGCCGGCTTGGACTCCGGCTGAGGTTGCGACGGTGGCCATCGCCATCGCCATCGCCATTGGCTCGTTTGCTGTGCTGAATGAAGCGCGAATCAGATGGTCATCGCCGAGAGCGGCGGTTACGCCGTTGTTGGCGGAAGCGACGGTGTTCGTCGGCGGCGACGGCATTTTTACC